GATAGTCACGGAAACTATTCTGTGCTTAGGCCTGGTATGATTCAGCATCAGCTCAATGGCAGTGAGTGAGAATGACTGATGAAGCCACTTGCTCAAGGTCAGTGTTTTGAGCCTATCGGCTGCTCCTCTGGAGAGACAGGACTTTCTGCTTCTGTGAACCTTTGTAGCCTCGGAATCAAGGAACAACTAACACTCTGGTCTCCGCCTTCATATTCACGCAACTATTCTGTGTCCTCTCTAACTCGCAGTAGGTGTTTACTATTTATAGAAATAATGGAACAGTCCTGAACCAGACCAGGGATATTCTTATGTCTACAGTCACTGTGAGTTGGAATCAACTCAGTGGCAGTAAGTTTTGCGTTTGTGTCTGACCAGTGACACCGAGCATATTTTAATGTGCATATTTCAATCTGTTCTTTGGTGAAATGACTATTCAGGTCCTACGCTGAAATTTTGGTGACTGTTCAGTGGATCACCTTGTCACTTTCATTTTTTTCCAAACTAATTATTCTCCATAATGAAGACCAAAAATGAAAGAGTACATGTAAAGTGTAAGGCATAGTCGATCCTCAGTACTTGTCAGCAAGTCTATTGTTAACGTATTATTATTGTTCATGTCAAATCCAACTCATAGTGACCCTGGGTATAAGAATATCCAGGGTCTATTCAGGATTTATTCCATTGTTTCTATAAATATTAAACACCTACCCTGAATTAGACTGGACACAAAATAGTTGCATGAATATGAAGGTGAATTTAATATAATTCTTATCTTCCCTGTCTCCTTCACTCATTCATATGCTCACACACACATTCCCATACACTCATTCACTCACACTTACATTAAAAGCTTATAGTCTAATGTAGGTGGTCAGGTTTAAATAATTTATTTATAACAATTAGGCAGTTCCCAGAACACCCCCAAGACTGGTAGGGGGGTGGTTATAAAGGTCAGCAGACAGACCTAGAATCATGTATGTTTTTTCATTTTTGTTTTTGTTTTTCTCTTTTTGTTCAATCCTTAATTTTCTTTTTGTTTTATCACTGTTATTGCTGTTTCGCCTGACTATGTAAGATAGGCATAGTGTGTTAGTGGGGGTACATTAGAGAAACAAATCCACAGAAACTCATATGTATAAGAGAGTTTTATATAAAGGGTAAGTGTACATTAAGAAAGTATCCCAACCCAGTGCTGCCCAAGCCCATAAGTCCAACATTAGCACATATGTCCGACACCAATCCACAAAGTCCTCCTCAATCTCACAAAACACACGCAATGATGCTGACTGCAGGAGGAAAGCCAAATCAGTGAATGTG